TGAGGAGGGCAATGGGTCGATAGTTTTTCGGGTAGTTCACCGTCCTTTCCAGGTTTTAAAATTGCAATAACTTTGGTTCTTTTGAACTCTGGAGGTAGTACAGATGTCTTCATTATGTTCACTAAAAAAGTCTTTGAGCCAGTGTCGCGTTTTTGGACCACAGTGAATTAGGAACTCAGGATACATTCCATCGAAAACCTGCCGCTTTGCCTTTTTTAATTTGACTGAGGCCATCGTTTATTTCGTTCAGAGAGATGCATCTTGAAAACTCTGAAGTAGGAGGAGTGTTTGTCTTAAGTTCTTTTAGAGCTTTTTTTGTAGACGTCGTCTGGATTTTGTCAGAGGGGGCACGCGATACTTCAACTATTCTGTTAGCTATCCTTTTCGGATCGATACTGTTCTTGTTCAAGCGTTTCTCTCTAACGGCTCCACCTAGTCTACGTAGCAATCCCCATGCCTTCCGGCTAGATCGTGAAAAATCAATATGCTCTACTGTTGTTTTCCATTTATTAAGTCGGGTTGAGTCCAGAGAAGTCAGTAGACTATCAGCAATCTCAGGATCTTCGGAATCCACAAATTCTTCATACAGTCGTTGACTTTCTTCTGTCCAGCCTGGGATGTACTCCTTTCGAAAACCACGGGGTATATGTTTTTTGGCTATGGAAAGTACTAAGCTTACAAAGCGGTGGTAGTTCTTGGCTTTCGGATCAATAAAAACGGATGCAATCGTCAAGTCTTTTGGTGTATTTCCGGCCAGTTTGCTTTGTTAAAGTTCCAGCGTGGTCTTGGTGTGGATTCAACGATAGGAATATTTACAATAAACCCGCTTAAACCTAATAGGTTATTAGCGGAACGATAATAGTTAATTACACTTTGCTTAGTAAATTAGTCTTTTAAAAACAAAAGTAGGTTATCTATAGTGATTTCTTAATTTAAAATGTCTGTTAAATGGTAGTTAATTATGTGACGATTGAACTCTTTGCACTTTTCTACTAGCACATGTTTTACCGTAAGAGATGAACCGCACTTATCACAAATTGGGCATTCCTCTTTTTTAAACAAATGTTCATGAAAAAACTGGGTATGTTCAAGTCGTAAACTAAAAATAATTATTTGTTTTCTTCTGGATATCTCGGTTGGTTGCCATGATCCAATCTTATTTTTTATCTCCTGAAGCTATGATGGTATGGATTTCCATTTATTCTTCTAGTTCTCGAACAAGTGCTTTATGAAGTCGCTTTTTAGATCCATCAAACAGTTTGGGGTGATATAGGAATACTGTTGTCGTTTACCTGCTATTCCAACATGTGATGGGACCCAGAGAAACTTGATGCTGGTATCTTTAGGGTGGAATACTTTAACCAGGCACTTAATATAGAGACAAAAGAAGGAAACCTGGAAGACAAAAGAGATGAGGTAAGGGGAACAGATGACAGGAAAGAGGAACCACCAACGATTCTTGAAGTTTAAGATGCAGTTAAAAAACTAGCCAGAAACAAATCACCCAGAATAGATAATCTCCCAGCTGAAGTTGTGACAAATTTAACAAATGCCCACGTTGGGCGGTAATGTAACAAAAATGTGATAAGGGAGTCTGGATGACTCTATACAGTGTAGCAAAAGGATAAACTCTAAAATGTACCTTGATACACCAACGAACTAATATGTGGAATAACAGAAAATGGAAGGGATTAAGTAGATAGAAATAAATTGTATAAAAGAATTAAATAAAGGGTAAATATGAATTTTAAAATATAACAAAATTAAGTGTTGGCTAGCGACTATGCAGGAGAATGACCACTTGACACTCAAAGAAGGATTCGGCCAATTTGCATGCCCTACAGAGACCGTAATATATAAGAACTAATGATAAGAAAACCACCAAGAAATAAACAGATGAAAGATAAAAGTTGCTCTACTGAATGCTTGGGCGCCAGGAAGTTAAATGTTTTCTTCCGAGATATCTTGTATTGCTGAAATATGAAAAATAGGTACTAATTGAATATTAAATTTTTAACCACAACTTTAATAATTACCAAACTTATGTACAGACTATTTTAAATGCTTATATATTACCCACCACCTCTTATGTACAGTAACAGCTATATTTACAGTAAAATCCCTGACTATAATTATAAAACAATTTACCCCTGATATACCTCTTAATTTCAAATTGTGACAAAAGTTATACTCAATAATAATGTATAAATAATAAATATAAAAATACTACTCACTAATAGTTTAGTTTTCGTTCAATAATTGTTTAGATTTTTAAGTGAAAACTCTCTGGATATGTGTGCACACTGATAACCTAACAAATAGAGATTCAAGGGAGAGTTATAACCTCATCCCTTGGTAGACAATAAATAATTGAATTAAGTTATAATGATTTTTGTTTTAAGAAAAATTGAATGTATTTATTATTAAAGATATATAGTTAAATTACAAGTGAACCAAAAGTTAAAACCTTGAAGAGGATGTAGCAAAAGTTATATAAAATACTTGAATGACAAACAAAAAAAAATCAAAATAAGTTCTTCCTGCCTGGTTTCCGTAGGTTGCCCTGGAAGATGATCCGGTGAAGAACTAGACTCAGGTGGCTAAAGATACACCAAACCTGGATTCCATGTATAAAGGTACTCTTAGACAAATACGTCCTTCAAATTCTTCTTAAATCCCAAATAAAAGCCCATAAACTTAAAATTTCTTCCCCTTGTCTTAGTAAATATAACCCAAAAAAAACTAAAAGGTTTCTTCCCTGGCTTGTAACTGGATTTCTGGGAGTAGGCTAAAAAAAGGAACAATTGTGTTACTTCATGTCCTTTGTACATACAAAAAGGTAGAGAAAAACACAAGGTTTATTAACCTTGAAAGGCGATATAAGAAATGTCAACAAGAGACCTTAGATTGAGGTAAAAACCTTAATGGTTTTCGGTAAATAGTGACCTTGGAATGGTGTGACGATGTTTTTATAATGTATGGATATATTAAATAGATAGTTTTAACGGAAAGCATGATCTTTATATATTATAGAATATGAAAACAAAAAGAAATATTAGCCGGTCTAAATGGTATAAAATTGAAATAAATAATTGTTTGCTTTCATCCTTGAAAGGAAATAAAATTTGAGATAGATATAGAATCGAATACTTGTAATATATTTAGGTATAAAACATTTTCCTTAATGAAATAAGGTGAAATGTGACATGTATAAAATATATGAAATACCTATCAAGAAAGAATTAAAATAGATCTGAATTTCATTATCAATGGCGGATGACATGAAGGGTTTTTCCTTATAATTTATTTATAATTTAATTTTACCGGCTGGTGTGATCCAACTGAAAGTATCCTCATACAAAACACCAAAATAGCTTAAATGGTTACTTCTAAATCAAACAGCTCTTCACAAAAAAAAATAAACTTAAACTAAATTCATGAAAAATGGCACGTCACAGAAAACACTAATGATCGAAACGATCTTCCTTCGATCAAATCCAGTCAACAAGTGATTCTATTACGGTTCTACAGCCGTCAAGTGGATGTACTTTCAGAATCTTACACCAGGTGGCGCGATTTAATGCCAACCTTAGAGAATAAAATTTACTGGGAGTTATTTAAATATTTAGTTTAAGAATATTTCAAAAATGAATTTAATTTAGAATTAAATTAAATAATTCCAGTCACAAAAAAAAGGTAAACGCTTATTTAAGTAACGGACTCGTTACAAAGTATGTATAGTAGTAGTGAAGTTTCTATGAGGTATATAAAGAAGGTGACCATGATACCATAATATCATTACAGCAGTTTAGAAAAGAAATATGTGCACAGAAGTCCCTCCCCAATGATTGGAATAGTGGAATACTTTGCACCATACACAAAAAGGAGATATCTTTAAATGCTCTAACTATAGAGGAACTACGCTTCTAAATGCAGCGTATAACATATTTTCCACAGTATTATGTCACCGTATGGCACCATATGCAGAACGTATAGTAGGAAAATATCAGGCTGGTTTCAGAGTGGTAAATCGACCATTCATCAGATTACAACCCTAAAACAAATTTTGGAAAAAACATTGGAATCAGGCATCGATACTTATACTGATGAGTATCGATATATACAATTTGTTTTAGGGTTGTAATCTGATTAATGGTCGATTTACCACTCTGAAATCAGCCTGATATTTTCACACTATCCGTTCTGCATATGGTGCCATACGGTGACATAATACTGTGGAAAATATTGCTGTGCGCTGCATTTAGAAGCGTAGTTTCCTCTATAGTTATAGCATTTAAAGATATCTCCTTTTTTGTGTATGGTGCAAAGTATTCCACTATTCCCAATCATTGGGGAGGGACTTCTGTGCACATATTTCTTTTCTAAACTACTGTAATGATATTGGTATTATGGTCACCTTCTTTATATACTTCATAGATACTTCACTACTACTATACATACTTCAGCTGGGAGATTATCTATTCTGGGTGATTTGTTTCTGGCTAGTTTTTTAACTGCATCTTAAACTTCAAGAATCGTTGGTGGTTCCTCTTTCCTGTCGTCTGTTCCCCTTACCTCATCTCTTTTGTCTTCCAGGTTTCCTTCTTTTTCCTCTATATTAAGTGCATGGTTAAAGTATTCCACCCATCCATTCAATACATCTTTTCTTTTTTTTTAGATTTGAAATTCATAAGTGAGTTAATGGTGTGTACTTTCGGTATAAGCTAATGGTTTTGAAATGGATAAAAAAACAATTTCTACAGCTGAAAAGTTTATGGCTAAACAATAAAGAAAAACATTGTTTGCTAGAACTTTTTATTTTGCCCTAATAAATATCACAAAGTTCTATGATTCATTAACTGTCAATTAATTAATTGATTTATCTCCGATATTTTGTTTCCAATACAGAAAATATATGATTTTTTGTATTCTTATATCAACTCCCCTAGTGATGCTTTAAAATATACAATTTATCTATAAAGACATTTTTTGTTTTTCAGCCCATTTACGATTGCGTCAACGTAGCAGCCATCAATGCAGTAAATGTGGCCAGAGCTGGAGTCACTTTGTCGGGGCAGCAAGTTATGCAGCAGCCAGATCTGTACACGTGTCCAGCACTACCTGACGATGAAGATTTGGACTTCCGTTGCGACAGTCCAACTACCAATGATAAAATTACTCGATTCTAGAAGACTGAACAGGCTTTATTTAACATACGACCTAAGTAGACAGGCCTAAGTATTTTTAAGTGAAATAATAGTTAGACGAGTCATTTAGCTGTAGCATCATGCAGAACACTGTGTGCAATATATAAATATTTATATTAAATTAAATATAATTTTAATATGACTATATTCAAAATGAAATATTGTCTGATTCAGAGAGTCCAAGACAATTAATAATAAAGTCATTTAATTTTGAAAGAAAAATTAAAATAATAATAAATATGTAAAACAAAAAGTAGAATAGTCTATAGAAAAATTCTAAATTTAAAATTAATGTACACAAATTGATGAAATAACTTTTTAAGTACTAAACTGGAACCTCGCAAAGAGTTGAAGAAGATAATATTAAGTAGTACAGCGGTCGGGGTAACTTTTTTAATCATTACCACCAAAACATTTTGTGTAAGTTGATATTACCCAGGCAAAAAACAAAAAAGCAAAAAAAAAAGGCCTCTTTTTAGCATCATTCATATTATAGCCCCCATGATAGTTTTGAACATGAAACAATAACTAAAACATAAAATAAACATCATTTATTCAATTTCTATGATACCTAGAAATACATAACATAATAATAGATAACAATAATAAGATATAAAAAATTAAAACCCATTGCGGTACTGTAACAAATTATAATAATAATAATGGTCATACTAACAAAAATTAGAATTGAAAAAATTATAAAAAAAGAATAATTGAAAACATTCTTCTTCACGTTTTGGTAGAAATGATGTTGTTTCATGTTCGATACAATTGCTTCAAAATTGGACTTTTTGATGTAAGAGCGATTTGAATACAGTCTTCGCGTTTAATCGATTTCTGTTCTTCGTTTTTATGTTCACTAGAGTGGAAAAGCCTTGTTCGTCACAAATATGTTGTTCCAAATGGCAGCAATTTTTTAACCGCCTCTTCATGTGCAATTTTGCAGCTTTTGAAATCCAAAAAGACGACAGATTTGGTTTACTCTAAAATTGAATACGTGCTTCAGTATTAGATCGAAGTTCAAGAATTGCTTCTGCCAAACCTGAAGGTTCTTCTGGTATCATATCAATTTCACATTTAAAAGGATCTACAATCCAACTGACAGTACGTATATCAAGATCTGGAAAGTAATCTGAAAACCGCTTTCTGAGTTTGATAAGATGTCTTACAATTGTATCCTGATGTCAGCAAAAGTAATATTTTCGCAATCTTCCAAAAACAAAGCTAACCTTGAAAAAGAAGCTATCTTGTTCTGTTCTACTTTCTGACTCCAATATTGCAGCTTTAATCCAAACGCTGACACTATTTCTCTCGCTGAAATGATATTAATATTCTTTCCTGCAATTCTTTGTTTAATATATTTATACTCTCACAAATGTCAGCTAAATATGTGAATATGCAACCCAGGAAGAGTTTTTAAACTTATCTGCGAGAATATTTTTTTTGATCAACCATAAAAATTTTCACTTCAGTTTTGAGAGTCCATACTCGATTTAGTACATTTCCGCGAGAGAGCCACCTTACTTCTGTATAATAAAGTAGGTCCGTATATTCGGCTTCACCGTCCTGACATAATTCACGAATAGCCGCGTGTTTAGTGCATGTCCCTTGATAAACTTTACAATCTTGATGACATCATGCATGACGGCTTCCAGTGTAGGTTCTAAATATTTGACCATAAGGGCCCTGGGGATGGATCATACAGTGAATAACTTCAATATTTGGGTTATTTTTTTTACGAAAGCCGAAAAACCATTAATATGGCGCCAGCAATAGCTGGAGCTCCATCCAAAGATACTGTTGTCTTATCAAAGCTGAATAGCAAAAATATTTAGGCCTGTTTTAATGAGAAAATAACTTGTTCCTTCACATTTTCTGCTAATATAGAAATTCTTTCTTTCACAATTCTCGCAGACAAGGGCACTGAATTCAGTTTGTTCGCTTCTTTTTGACCGCACATAATCTCTGTCATTTTTACAGCAGCTGGTTTAACCAAATCTTCACCAATAGTGTATGGTTTCTTATTTCGAGCAATCAACCAGGCTACTTCAAAGCTAGCCCTTGATGCTGAACGCTGATCAAATGTACCAAACAAGTTGCTATTCAATCAATACAGGTGTGAATGCAAATTATCTAAATGTTTCTTCAGTTGACTTTTTTTGAAAGATTCTGAAGTCAATACCTTCATACATACAACACACTGTGGTTTCATTGTACCATTGTCTTCTATTTGTGTAAAACCGTAATTCAGGAATTCGTCTTGATATTTTCTTTTTCTATTTGCTGCCATCTGAAGGAGACAGAAAATAATAGTTGTAAAATACTTAAATTAAATTTTCAAATTGCGGCTTATCTTGATCGATATATCGATAATTAATGATTGTCAGCAACTAACTATAACTCTCTGACTCGTCAATGTATTTGTATTCTGACTGCACGGCACGGACTAAGGACTGAGCAGGTAGCCGGGGCTCGGGGCTGTGCTTTACTGCGCAAAGATATAACTCGAGAACACTCTACTGGTGGCGAGTGCAGTGGGCGCACCAGGGGGAGTTTTGGGGTTTAAAATTCCTCCCAGGGCATATAAAAAATTTTACAAAGGAATAGTAGGAAAACGTAATTTATCTTTCACAAATAATACAAAAAAATTTCGGTGCATGCAAAACAGGTTTTATAAAAAATCAAATTAAAATATATACTTTTTACTCACAAGTTTCATTTTTACCCTCAAAAATTTCATTTTTTACCCCATTTGGGGTAATTTACCCCGGTTCCGGTTCGGTTCCCCGACCGCTGAAGTAGTAGAATAAAAAACATGCTATATGATTATTATGTACATATAAATAGGTGAGTCTTCTATAGCTGGCGTCGTTTCTCGCATCCTAATTTTCAGTGTTTTCTGTTTTCATCTCTCAATGACCGTCTTGGTCTACCTCGTTTTCTTGTAGTGGGCGGAATTCATTTTTCTATCTTTTTTGATCATCTATTTTCATTCATTCTCTGCAGGTGTCCATACCAAGTCAATTTTCGTTATTTTATCTTCTAATGTCTACATTCCTTACCCTACCAAGTATAGTGAGCCGGCAACATCGTCTCCAATAGTCCGGTTTCCATGGCCTTAATTCTTGATTTGATTCCTTGATTTATTTCCCAGAGTTAGAGTACCACCCAATATTTTCTATTTTGTTTTATAAATTCTTATTTTCTTTTATTTTATTATTCTACAATAGTCCGTGTAATCGTTACTCCCTGCTTTTGAGGTTATTTGGTATAGATCCAAGTATTTGAAGGTTTCACTTGATTTTATAGTTCTCATTTCAATTTGTAGACTTTTTGATTTTTCTCTTGGTTATATAACTAAATACTCGGTTTTTTGTATATTAATTGTAAGGCCCATTTGGTGTAATCCTCCTCTAGTTTTCTAAGCATATCGCTCTCGTCTTCAGCTATAATTTCTTGCTTCAGACCCTTACTAATAGGAATCTCCCTAGTTAATTTGTTTCCAGTTTTAATATTTACCGTCATATTTTTGTAAAGCTGTTATACTGCTTTTATAGTTTTTTTTTATTTATACCTTGTTTTTTCATTGCTATCCAGAGCATTAAAAGTGGTACACTATCGTATGCCTTTGTCAGATCTATAAAGACTACATGCGTTAAAAGGTTAAGGGCTACTCTTTTCTCAATAATCTGCTTTAGAGAAAATATGCTGTCTATACAGGGTCTGCCTCCACAAAAGCCATTTTATTCTTCTACATCTGTCATCTCTTTGTTCAATTTTATTTTTTATTATTTTTCAAATAGAGTATTGAGAGTCAATTTATGACACTGAACCCTTATATTTTGATCAATTATTTTCATCTCCTTTTTTTGTAGATGAGTATTACGTAGATATATAAATAAAAAACCAATTAAATTTGGTGTCTAACAAAAAAATAGTGATGACACACAGCTAAAATATTCATAAACTATGAGGTTTCTTTATTATTGTATATTTTATATTTATAAGCTGGAAAAAAATCCGATTTTTATGAACAAAGGAACACATAAGTTGACCTACTCTATATAAACTCTATGAGTTGATGAATAAATTTCTTCTCCAGGAATATTTTCAGCACAACAACATGGATTTGCCTCTGTTCGCTCTACTCTAACCAATCTCCTAAATTGTATTAATGACTGCACATCATGCCCTTAAAGTTATCCGATAGTAGACGATATTTATTTAGAACTTTTTAAAGCGTTTCACCTTAACATAAGACTTTAGCTAAACAAGCTTTTCGGCGTTGGTCCCACGTGGTACCATATTCGTTGACGATGATTTCCTAACAGAGAGATATTGCGAAGTTACCGTTATCGATTATTTTTTCACAAGATAGGTTTCAGTGTACCAGGTGGATTGCACAAGGCTCTGTGCTTGCACAGGGCTCTGTGCTTTTCTCATTTGAAATCCTCTTGTAGTTCTTACTTTTTTAATATTTCTTAGATAATCAGGTGAACATATAGAGGACCCACGGCATCTACCTCTCTTATTCCATTGCCAGCTTCAATAGAGTGGGTTAGGTTCTTCTTACACTTTTACTTTTATTGTGTTGTTTTGGAAGATATTTTTCGATCGTTTTTGATTATTCCTAGAGGTATCTCTCTTGCGTACTATAAGGGTATAACGTCTTTTAATTTGACCCAGTCAAATGCTTTTGTAAGGTCCACGAAAACATAGATAATGCCGGTTTGTGTGTATTTCTAATGATTTCTCTTGCACTTGCTTCATTATAATATAGCGTCGGTGCATGATGTTCCCGTCCTTTAACCTTGTTTGTTCTTCTGCTAGTGTTATAATTTCATACAATTTATTTGTTATCACTTTGGTTGTTAATTTTACTGTTGTGTTTGTAAACTTGTAAAAGGTAACTTTTCTGTAAGGTCAACACAGTTGCTACGAAATGCAGTGTTTGGCAACTGGAAAAACTTTAGTATTAACAT